AAAAAAAGCCATCAGGTTTGACTCCTCTTTACTTAATTCAATTCCTAGCACCGTAACGCGCGATTATATTGACAAATGACATGTTTTACAGGCTTGCTAGCGACATCATAAAGCCCATTTTGGACCTCTCTTGGAAACTGCATCAAGAATATTGGATAAGTGGGACGCTCAAAGTGTCAAATTTAGCAGAAATGGCTAAGATTTCTGCCTATTTGAAGGATCACTCACAAGAAAGATACATTTCGGTTTGGAGAAGATGGATAGATTATATTCAGAATAAATATGGGACTAAAAAGTTCCATTTAGCCTATGAGTAAATTTTAGAGTATTATTAGTATTAACAGTTTATTGTAGTGAAATTTTTGTTAGTTTTAATTATATGATATTATTACTTTTAGTATTAGTATTGTTTAACAATATGGATATTCTATTGTTTAATAATTAGGATACTAATTTGTTTATGTCTTAATTATTATTATTATATTTATGTTAAAGGGGAGTTAAAGCGCATTATGGACTTGGTTATTTACAGTATATAGTTGGTTAATGTTAGTTAGATTATGATTATTATATTTGTAACCCTGTATTTAGTTCTGGGAAGTGGGGGAGGGAGAGGGGGGGATTAGGGTGGGTAGGTTTTGGGGTTCATATTGTAATTTTTATAAAACTTTTCAATTAAAAAAAAAGAATATTGGATAAGTGGCAGGAGAAAAGTTACTTCTGTCTTCTGGGCCTTGAAGTCCCCATTAACTCACTTTTCTCATCTGTGAAAAACCTTGGCATCTGTAAGCTCCTCCAGCGGTGATTTAACCCAGCAATTAGTAAATCAAATGCCTTTCTTGTTTAGTCTGATCAATGTACAGCGTGCTCGGCTGCAGTCTATGCCTCTTGCCAAAAGGGGTTGTTCTAAGATTGTTGGCACAGTCCTACTTTTAGGAATTGGGAAATGGGAAACAGGAGACATGACTTTGCTGGTGGTAGCTTTAAGGCAGAGGTGGGGAACCATGGCCCTTGTGGACTTCAAATTCAGGAATTCTGAGAGTTGAAGTCCACAAGTCATAAGAGGACCATGGTTCCCCACCTCTGCTCTAAGGAATGGGTGACACCTCGCTGTTCCTCTACCCCAGGGGTCTTCAAACTTGGCCCTTTTATGACTTGTGGACTTCAACTCCCAGAATTCCTCAGCCAGTATGTCTGGCTGAGGAATTCTTGGAGTTGAAGTCCACAAGTCATAAAAGGGCCAAGTGGGAAGACCCCTGCTCTACCCCATAAGGACCAAGGGGCCCACAGAAAAACAGCCAAGAACTTGCACAGAAGTTGTATCAATGAATATGACATTGAGAATCCTTGTATCCCCAGTTAAATATAAGACCAGAGGGGTAACTGATGGCTCCTGATTCCAAATGTGATTTCATCTTGGTTCCATGCATCAAATCAGGGGGGTCCAATCCTGGCAACGTTTAAGATTTGTGAACTTCAACTCCCAGACTCCAACCTTGGTCACTTGAAGACTTGTGGACTTCAACCCCCAGGATTCCCCAGTCAGTCACCATGGCTGGCTAGGGAATTCTGGGAGTTGAAGTCCACCGGTCTTAAAATTGCCAAGGTTGGGCAACCCTGATCTAGATGATCTCCAAGGGGCCTTCCATCCCCTGCATCCTGTGATTATCTGAGACTATAATAAATATTTTGAGGTCGTAATGGAGAAGGCTACACCCCCTTGCTGGCTGGGGAATTCTGGGAGTTGGAAGTCCACAAATTTTAAAAGTTGCCCGGGTTGGACACCCACCATGATTTGACGCATAGAACCAAGCATGGGTGCGCCTTTTGCAGAGGCAGAAAACTTGCCGGAAACTAGAAATAAATAAATCCGAAGGGCAATTTTGGCCCAAGATCAGTCCCTGAGCTGCTACGTGCAAAGGCTGTGTTCTAACTCAGGACTGAGTTCCTAGCAGTTGGCCTGATGTTTTGAAAAGACGCTTCCGAGTTCTTCAGCCTTTGGAGGAGAGAGGAGAACTCTCAGAGCCAAAGCTTTTCCATGTGGCTATCAAAAAAAAATTCCTAAAACCTAGACCAGTGGTGGCGAACCTAGGGCACGCGTGCCAGAGGCGGCACTCAGAGCCCTCTCTGTTGGCACATGCGCCATCGCCACCAGCAGCAGCAGGTGCATCAGGCCACCACTGCCACCTGGAGCAGGAGCCCCGCCCAGCACAAAGGAGGCGAAGCGGCCGACTAGCAAGCTGGAGTAAAGGTGGTAGAGCAGAGGTCACCAACCACTGTCGATTGGTGGACTGGAAGAAAAGGGAGGGGGAAGCATTTTACATGCGTGCGTGCGTGCGTGCGTGCACGGGGCTGCGAGCACGCACATGCTGCAAAATGGGGCGGGGCTAGTGCCTGCGTGATACTCACTAGCCCTGCCCTGTCCTTGCACGGTGCAGTGCCTTGTATCTGCACCCCATGGCATGGCTGTTTCTGCGCTCTGCAGCACGGTGGCCCATTTTTGCGCCCCCCCGGTTTTTGCGTGCCAGAGGCGGCACTCAGAGGCGCCTCCCTGCCCCCCCCCCCCATGAGGGCACCACCATACTGATGCGACCCTGGCACTTTGCGATAAATAAGTGGCTTTTGGGTTGTGGTTTGGGCACTCGGTCTCTAAAAGGTTCGCCGTCACTGACCTAGACGCAGACACCAGGACTTCTTCCAAGCAAAGGAGAAATGCCACTTTAATCCTATTAGCAAAGAAGCTGATGACTGGCTGGCCTAAATCCAGGACTGGCAAAGTGGATTTTCGGTATCGGAGCAAATTTCCCTTTCAGAAGGAGAAAGTCTGACTTCACTTTCATAATTTTCAATGCTCACTCTCTCTTTCTTCCAGCCCCTCCTTCCTGAAACAGCACCCACCTCCCAGTTGCTCAGACCCAAATAGTTTGGCCAACAGCGCCATCTAGCGACTTCTACATGCAATGCAGCCAGAAGAGAATTTGGAATTTGCAGCGGCTGCGATGCATATTTCGCCGCACTAGTGCAGCGGTTTGCATGAATGTATTTCGCTGCATTCCTGAGCAGGATGCAGGCCAAACGCAACTGAATTGCAGTGGTTGCTTGCAATTTGAGTGCTGGGAAAAGCAAGAATAAAGGTTTGTTTTCCTTTTGGCCTAAATATTGTTTTATACGCATGCAAAACAAAGATCTGAAGGCTGCTGCTTGGACAGCATGAGGAACAACTCCCAACCGAATACTGTAAATATTATCCATTTTCTGTACAACTCTCTTAAAGGTGGTCACTTGTCCAGCATTGTCTATATCGGTTTTATTCAACCTTGGTCATTTTAAGGAGTGTGAATTTCAACGGCCAGAATTCAGTTCAGTTCCCAGCATTCAGTTCAACTCCGTGTTGGCTCTGGTATTTTGGGAGTTGAAGTCCACATGACTAAGGTGGAACAACACTGGTTTATATCAATAAGTGGGAGTGTTTGTTTTGAAACTACCATTCCAAGAATCTTTCATCCTTGTCCATGTGGGCAGAAGGTGCTGGATGTTGCCCTTCAGCAGTTCTAGATAGACACAGTTCCTCACTGGTACAGGACACTGTTTTCTCAGTGGCCTTTTGTAGGAACTATATAATACAGAATAACAGAGTTGGAAGGGACCTTGGAGGTCTTCTAGTCCAACCCCGTGCTCAATCTCTTCTTAAAAACTTCCAGTGTTGGAGCACTCACAACTTTTGAAGGCAAGCCATTCCACTGGTTAATTGTTCCAATTGTTGGGTAATTCCTCCTTAGTTCTAGGTTGCTTCTCTCCTTGATTAGTTTCCATCCATTGCTTCTTGTCCTGCCTTCGGGTGCTTTGGAGACTAGCTTGACTCCCTCTTCTTTGTGGCAGCCCCTGAGATACTGGAAGACTGCTATCATGTCCCCCCTCGTCCTTCTCTTCGTTAAACTAGACATACCCAATTCCAGCCACCGTTCCTTATATGTTTTAGCTTCCAGTCCCCTAATCATCTTTGTTGCTCTTCTCTGCACTCTTTCTAGAGTCTCAACATCTTTTTTGTAGATGTTTTCTAGAGGAAATATTTCTGCAGCCTAAACTATGAAGCCTACTGATGCAAGAAGCGAAATTAAAGCAATCACAACAGTACATTTGATTTCAATTAGACACTGCCTCAAAGGAAGAATTACTCAGAGGAGGATCAATTAAGCCAAGAAGCCTTTTAATGTTTTGAAAAGCTAGCAGGCTTCTTCTCTCCCCCCCCCCTATTCATTTGTTTTCACCGGGGATAAATTATTCCTGGCAGTCTTCTTCTGGATTTATGAAGTCTCAGAGTCAGTAGTAAATTAAGAACATTTCACCCAAGGCAGAAGGTTTTGTTAGCAGCCTCTGCTGGTCTAATTTTCAAAATATAAATAAATAAAATAGGGCACTAGTATATTCGTCAAGGGATGAGTCTGGAGAGGTCTAGCACGACTGTCAGCATCCAGAGCTTCTGAATATTATTAGAATATTAGAATAATTTTTCTTCTCCTTCCTCTTTCCCTCACTCTCCCCTTTAATCTTCCTCCTCCTCCTCCTCCTCCTCCTCTTTTACCACTTCTAGTGTTGAGGGAGGTACAAAGTTGTGGGTTTTTTTGCTCTTTGGGGTGCCTCAACCATTGTTAACTGACGTTGTAGTGTGTCCTTTACTAGGTAGCAATAGCATTTCATCAAGAGTAAATCTCTCTCTTGATAGCATTATTATTATTTTTTTAAATCAAACTTCTCTTTGCCTTTACTTAACCCTCAACCCCTCCGTCTCGCCTCTCTCCCAAAAGGGGTTATTTTATGCGTAGGGCTGTGCCAAGACAACCCTTAGATGAGTGCCGGCATCTCAAGGACGCGATCAAAATGCACGGTGGCGTTCGCAAACTGTCAGCCACAATTCTATGCACATGACTGCTCATTTCTATCTCCACAGCATCTCTCGTGTTTAAAAATGTTAGGTACTTACCTTTCCAAGCATTTCTTGGATCAGATTGTGATTCTGTTAGAAGCAATCACTCTGAGCCACCCTGCAGATTGAAAATGAGATTGAAATTATACAAAAGCCTTTCTTTCTCTTTCTTTTCCTTCCTTCCTTCCTTCCTTCCTTCCTTCCTTCCTTCCTTCCTAAACATCATTTGCTCCTCTAATATCTGTAACACTGCCCGTTGCTAAAATAGGCACCTCTTTCTTTCTTCCTTAAAAGCTGAGCTTCTTATCCAAAATGAATTACAGTCTGAGATATGTACTATCAGGGCAGCGATAGGGAAATCTGTTCAACTACACCTCCCAGGAAACTCAGTCAGTGAGGTCCAAGCTGAGGGATGCTGGGAGCTGTAGTTCCGCAATGCATTGGCCCTCAATGCTTTAGGCTCCCCTGTGGCTCGTGCGTACCTACGCACGGTGAATGCTCGTAAGCCAGTGTTTCCCCCCGCCTGGGATGACTTCAGCTCCCAGAATGCCTCACTCCAAGTGTGGCCATTGCTGAGAATTCTGGGAGTCCATCCAGCCGACACTTTCACAGGTTGGGAAAGTCTAAGGTGGAGTACAGGTAGTCCTCAACGTACGGCCACAATTGAGCCCAACGTTTCTGTTGTTAAGCGAGACACTTGTTAAGTGAACTTTGCCCCCATTTTACAACCTTTCTTCCCACGGTTGTTCAGTGAATCACTGCAGTTGTTAAGTCAGCAACACGGCTGTTAAGTGAATCTGGCTTAGCTTGTTTGTCTGAATTGGTCGTTCGTTGCTTGGAAAACAGGGAAGCTCAGAAGCCCACGAAGGACCCCACAGTTCAACCCTACATTCTCTGCTAAAAGGGTTTAGCACCCCTTAATAAAGTCCCAAAAGCTGCAGACTTTCCTCCAACTTTTGTGACAGGGAAGCACACCGTCCTTGCAGTGTCTACCAGGAAGATTCCAGATTCTGCTTTTCTTTTTCTTTCTTTTTTTTCAGAAAAAGAGAGAGAGAGAAAGTTCCTCGCACAAGAGGAAGACAAGGGGTCTTTGTTTATATCTCCTCCCCCAAGGCTGAGACCACCAGCCATGGGGAGGAGCTATTAATAGCTTGATCTATTAATCCTGACCCACTTCCTGCCATCCTCCTGACGCCCATCAATCTGTTTGGAAAGACACACACACACAAGCCTCAGTTTAATATATGTCTTGGGCTGCGTCTCCCGTAATCTGGTTATTGGATTAACCTATTTACTGGGTTGCACACTCCCGCCAATCTCCAGCCAAATTCAGCTATCTGGATTTGCCCGCAGATTAAGGGATCCTTCACCCCACCCTGCAGAGCAAAATAAAATAATAATAAAATAAAATAAAATAAAATAAAATAAAATAAAATAAAATAATAAAATAAAATAAAATAAAATAAAATAATAAAATAAAATAAAATATAAAATAATAAAATAAAATAATAAAATAAAACAATAAATAAAAAAATAAAATAAAATAAGAAATAAAATAAAATAAAATAAAAAAATAAAATAAAATAAAATAAAATAATAAAATAAAATAAAATAATAAAGGATGGCACTGAAGAGTTTGGAATTCTGGACAAAGGCACAGTGGTTGCGCAGCGATCCATGAGGACTTGGCACTCAGATCCAGGCAACACTACACACACACACGCACCCTAATCATGCTCTCACGAAAGAGAGGATGGCTGCAAAACCAGAAGGAAGTGAAAGTATTCTGGCGCCTGAGAATAACGACAGCTTGCATTCGCACATGCATTTTCCTTTCTTGGTGGCATTCGCACGTTAGGCTTCCCTGCACCTGAAGGCAGGACAAGAAGCAACAGGCGGAAACTAATCAAGGAGAGAAGCCACCTAGAACTCAGGAGGAATTTCTTGACAATTAACCAGTGGGACGGAAGTTGCCTCCAGAAGTTGTGGGGGCTCCAGCACCAAAGGTTTTGAGGAAGAGACTGGACAACCGTTCGTCTGGAATTGGTATTTCAGGGTTTCCTGCCTGAGCAGGGGGTTGGACTAGATGACCTCCGAGGTCCCTTCCAGCTCTCTTATTTCTGTTATTTTGGATCATTCTTGGGATTTGCAAATGTGCGGAACCTGAATGGAATGGAATGGAATGGAATAGAATACTGTAGAATAGAATAGAATAGAATAGAATAGAATAGAATAGAATAGAATAGAATAGAATAGAATACAGAAGGAGAATGGAATGGAATAGAATAGAATACAGAAGGAGAATGGAATGGAATGGAATGGAATGGGATAGGATAGGATAGGATAGGATAGAGAAGAAGAATAGAATAGAATACAGAAGAATAGAATAGAATACAGAATGGAATGTAATGGAATGGAATGGAATAGAATACAGAAGGAGAATGTAATGTAATGGAATGGAATAGAATAAAATAGAGAAGGAAAATAGAATAGAATAGAGAAGAATAGAATAGAATAATGGAATATACAATATAGAGTAGAACAGAATAGAATACAGAATGGAATGGAATGGAATGGAATAGAGAAGAATAGAATAGAATAGAATACAGAAGAATAGAATAGAATAGAATACAGAAGAATAGAATAGAATAATGGAATATACAATATACAAAATAGAATAGAATAGAATTATTAGAATTAGAATTATGGAATGGAATAGCGCTGGAAGGGACCTCGGAGGTCTTCTAGTCCAGCCCCCTGCTCAAGCAGGAGAACCTATACTTGACTGGGGTCCATCTGGGTTAATCTCCCAGAGGCTCAACTTGGAAAATGACATTGATCGGTTAACCCGGGTCGCGGAAGGGGGGGGGGGNAAAATAAAATAAAATAATAAAATAAAATAAAATAATAAAATAAAATAAAATAATAAAATAAAATAAAATAATAAAATAAAATAAAATAAAATAATAAAATAATAAAATAAAATGAAAAAATAAAAAAATAATAAAATAAAATAAAATAAAATAAATAAAATAAAACAAAATAATAAAATAAATAAAATTAAAATAAAATAAAATAAAATAAAATAAAATAATAAATAAAATAAAATAATGAAATAATAAAATAAAATAAAATAAAATAATAAAGGATGGCACTGAAGAGCTTGGAATTCTGGACAAAGGCACAGTGGTTGCACACCGATCCATGAGGACTTGGCACTCAGATCCAGGTGACGCTACCCACACATACACACACAGACCCTAATCATGCTCTCACGAAAGAGAGGCTGGCTGCAAAACCAGAGGGAAGTGAAAGTATTCTGGTGCCTGAGAATAACGATAGCTTGCATTCGCACACGCATTCTCCTTTCTTGGTGGTACTCGCACGTTAGGCTTCCCTGCACCTGAAGGCAGGACAAGAAGTAACAGACAGAAACTAATCAAGGAGAGAAGCCACCTAGAACTCAGGAGGAATTTCTTGACAATTAACCAGTGGGACGGAAGTTGCCTCCAGAAGTTGTGGGGGCTCCAGCAACGAAGGTTTTGAGGAAGAGACTGGACAACCGTTTGTCTGGAATGGTATTTCAGGGTTTTCTGCCTGAGCAGGGGGTTGGACTAGACTAGATGACCTCCGAGGTCCCTTCCAGCTCTCTTATTTCTGTTATTTTGGATCATTCTTGGGATTTGCAAATGTGCGGAACCTGAATGGAATGGAATGGAATGGAATAGAATAGAATAGAATAGAATAGAATAGAATAATAGAATACAGAAGGAGAATGGAATGGAATAGAATAGAATACAGAAGGAGAATGGAATGGATAGGATAGGATAGGATAGAGAAGAAGAATAGAATAGAATACAGAAGAATAGAATAGAATACAGAATGGAATGGAATGGAATGGAATTGAATAGAATACAGAAGGAGAATGGAATGGAATAAAATAGAGAAGGAGAATAGAATAGAATACAGAAGAATAGAACAGAATAATGGAATATACAATATAGAGTAGAACAGAATAGAATACAGAATGGAATGGAATGGAATAGAATACAGAAGTAGAATGGAATGGAATGAAATGGAATGAAATAGAATACAGAAGAATAGAATAGAATAATGGAATATACAATATACAAAATAGAATAGAATAGAATAGAATTATTAGAATTAGAATTATGGAATGGGAATAGCGCTGGAAGGGACTTTGGAGGTCTTCTAGTCCAGCCCCCTGCTCAAGCAGGAGAACCTATACTTGACTGGGGTCCATCTGGGTTAATCTCCCAGAGGCTCAACTTGGAAAATGACATTGATCGGTTAACCCGGGTCGCGGAAGGGGGGGGGGGAGCTTTCCCTGTGAACGCAGCCTTGGGGGATGCCTATATCCCTCCACCCGGCTCGGGAGCCTTTTCCTGGCCAGCCGGGGGCGCTGCCGACCGCGGCGCCCCCGAGAGGGCGGGGCCGGGAGGCGGGGCCTCCGGGACAGCCCTCCTCGCCTGGGAGGGGAGGGAGCCGAGGCGAGGGGCGAGCGGGGCCGGCCGGGCACTCGGCGACGGCTCGGAGGCTGCAAGCAGCGCGGCCGGTTGCGCCGCTGGTTCCGCTCTAGGAGCCCGGCCGGGGCTGCGGCGCCGAGGGCGGCTCGTCTAGTGGCCCAGGGGCCGGCGTGACCGGCGGGGGGCTGCGCAACGGCCAGCCGGCCGAGAGGAGACGGAGGCAGGCCGGGTGAGCGGGGGGGGGGGCAGGGCAGGCTCGGTCCCCGGGATCGCAACCCCGGAGCCTTGGGGGGGGGGCGCGGAGGAGGGGGGGGTCTTCAGTCCCGCGCTTGCTGCAGCAGCGACGGCTCCGGGAAGGCGAGGTCCGCGCGAGGCTCCCGAGTCCCCCCCGGGGAAGGCGGGTGAAGTGGGGAAACCCCTCTCGGGGGGAGGGGAGGGGATCTGTTGCCCCCTCCCCAGGCGCCGGGGGGGACTTCCAGCTCTGGCGGTGCCCGTCGCTTCGGATGGAGTCTCTAAGAAGGGCGAGGGAAGCGGGCTTCCAAGTGGGGACGATGGGGCTTGGAGTTTGGTGCAGTCGCCGGGAAGGGGGAAGGAAGCTGGCTTTAAAGTGGGGATGATGGGGGTTGGAGTT